TTTTCTTACCGCTCTTTGAACCGCAACCAACTACGATACAATGCACCATGTTCAGTGAAAAGTTCACACATATCTCTCTGTCGCGTCTGTTTGTTTACTATCGAGGGGCACAAAGATGGCGGATAGCAACCGTTGTCAAGACCGGTGTCACGTGGGTGAAAGCCAAGAATTGTAGATAGGGCAGGAAAACGGTTTTTGGCCTTTCCCAATAAGGAGAGCTTTACGTGTTTAAGCTCAATATTTTGAGAAAACACTTTCTTTTGGAGCCAAATAGCAAAATATCAAATGCAACAAAACTTTATTGAATACGTATTCGAGATATGAAACGTGTATCATGGGAGAGGTGACATTTTGATCAGCAGGAAAAACTGACATTTTCGTGAATACTAAGTAGATTTACTCTAATAATTCGACAAAATTTCGTCACAAGTTTCGTGCAGCAGTGACACGAAAGAAACGCCTAAAAATTTGGAGCATTAAATTCAGCTAAATAAAAAAAATCGTGACAGTAGCGGGCTTGTTGTTTTTCTGCCCTGTCTGTAGAGTAGCCTGCGTAGCGGCCAAAGGAGCGGGAGGGATAGGGGGAGATGGGGGGAGGGGGAGGGGGGACTTTGATGTGGGGAACGAGGGGGGAATGTAAATCGACTGAGGGGGAGTACTAGGAGTTGTTTAGTGATAAGGATATATATGAACGTAAGACAAGAATATCTTGAAAAACATACCCTGTTCAAGACACAACACTGTAAATTTTTAAACCCCATCCAAGACCTAAGAGAATGTAGCGTTGTTTAAGTGAGCGTTACGCCCCCTGGGCTATCCATGCCTTTCGAATAAAGATGGCCGCCGCGGCATCGTCGTCTACTTTTCGTTTTCGACGCAGGAAGTCGTTTTATTCATACGATATCTTGACGTCAAACTTAAAAGCTGTATAAAGGATTTGCACCATCACGTGATGGCAGGCATGACAGGAGGCACAACAATAGTCTTTTTCCTCCCGGGGAAACTGAATTTATTCTCGTGCCATTCAGACTAGATCAGATTCAATAGTTCCTGCCTCCTGTCATGGCTGCCTCTGTTCACTCATAGTTAGTCAAAGAGTGGAATCCAGTCCCCTCTACTAACATTCTACTAACTATGATTCACTGGCCAATGAATGAAGCATCAGTCAATACGAATCAACCAAAATCAGCCTGCCTTATATAGACAATGGATTATATTTTTACTTACTTGTCTTGCGCTTTCTTGTAGATAGCAGACTATCTATCTTTTCGCTGGAGAACGGTTTGTTTCATGTCAGTTGGTGAGTAGGGGAGATTCAAGTGTTATTCACAGACGTCAGGCCATTTAATTAATTTGTTGCTGGTTATTGCACAGGTTGTTTAATTTAAATATACAGGTTGATACACGAGTACACTGTACGAAGGTTGCCATGGAAACATTCCAGTGAGAGAAATAATCCATTTTACTGTTCCGTTCAGTGACCACTGAATAATATTTCCAAGCCCAGGCTGGAGTTGCCACGCATGATAAACTGTATGCGCGGAAACTCCAAACTCCACATGAAACTATTGTTCGTGGTCACTGAACGGAACTGTAAAATGGACTATAGAGTGTGTGCAACCATGTGACTCACAGCCGCCATCTTGGTATCGTCAACCAAGAATTTTGAAATGAAATTCATTATTCTTTCTGAGAATACCAAGACTCGGGATTTGTATATGTAATAGGACTCTATGCTGTCCAATTAAGAAATAATTGGACGAGGAAAATTCCGAGGACTGACAAAATTGGAAGAGGCCGCAGGCCGAGTCCAATTTGGCAGTCAGAGGAATTTTTCGAGTCTAATTATTTCTTGGTTGGGGAGCATGAAGTCCCATTACCTATTAATTATATAGCTGCCTAATTAATCCCATATCAACAAGACCTGTCCAATTAAGAAAATAATTGGACAGTTACCTATATGGGATTAATGAGAAGCTGTATAATTAGAAATAATAACCGATTCAAAACTCGAACTCTGATTGGACTATTTTCATTATATTTTTCTTTTCTTTTTAATTTTAAGGTGATTAAAATTAGCCATTTTTTTAACTTGCTCGTATCGCTTCAAAAACACTCGGATGATTCTGAATTTAACATATTTTGTAGCTCAAACATTTGGGCCGCTTTTAACGATGTATTCAAAATATCATTCTCGAGTCGCGTTTGCAGTTCTGGCCAGTTTTCTAACAGTGGTTTCTCACAATATTGTCTTCCAGCTCGCTTAAAAATCGATGGATTTTTATGCGGAAACTTTAGAAAACGTAAAAAGAAAGAATAATCAAAGAACTGGAACAACTGAAAAGCGAAAATTACAGATATTATGCGTTGAACTGAAAGCCATGGGCCCAGGATTGTATCAACCCTTGCATTCGTCTCTTTAGAACAAAAAAAAGTTTACTGCACGGGCTAGCAAGATGAAAAAACTATTCTCTACAAGGCAAGGATTACAGTATTTCAAAGACGGGCTTCTAGCCATGATTTATATAATGAATGAATGCTACCTAGTCCGCATACATAAGCTTGGTCAGCAAATTGTGCATGAAGAGTCGTTTCCAGAACTCAACTCAACTCAGCTCAGGTTTTCTAATACTCGGAACCAGAAAGAACCGAAAAAGTTCACATGGCTTTGCTGGAAGAAGTAGACAATTGCTTTTCATTATTGAAATTTGTTAAAAGATTGATTTCCACATTTCTTTATAAAAGATGTAAATTCTTTATAAAAAATGTAATTATGCTAAAACCACGCACGGAGTACAGACCATTTCCCTCAGAAAAGCATGGAACATTTCCTTATCGTTAAATAAATAAATAAGTTTACTTAAATAACTCAATTTTCATGAAATATTCCTTAGCTAGCTTTACCGATCCAAAGCTAGGCGTTTTCTTTTCTTGATGCTCGGAAAACGGTCAGATTTTTTCTGGGTGCGAGCTCCAGATGCGATTTTCAAAGCGCAAGTTTCTTTTGCGCTTAATATATTTCAGTATTTGCCTGTCTAGTGCCTAGTCGACAAAGTTGGTTCTCTTATTGTAAATGCATGAAAATTTTCAAAACTCGTATTGCATGGTATCACGTTAATTTTGAGGTCACTCACTCAAGCCAGTTTAAGAAAAGTTACCTTGGACATGGAGAGCATTAGACACTAGAGCACAGAACAGAAGAAACGACTCCGTTGACGCGGATCAGTGATGGTTGATATATTGCCACAAAGTGATGCGAGAAGCCCACGGTTTGAACGAGACAGCTGTACTGAGAAGTTAATGGCCTTACAAAAAACATTTCCTGGTTAATAGTTTATAGTTTTTCAAGCTTTCAAAAAGTGTTTCCCATTTAAGGCCGGTTTAGACGGTACGATTTTCGTCCACAACTATCGTACACAACGCGCTCGCGTCTGTCGTAGGCGAGTTGTAGGCTTGATTTACACGCTACTACTCGAGTTGTAGGATGGCGCGAGCGTGTTGTACAGTCAATTCAAAAAACGTTGTCGTCGACCGGCTCAAGCCTACGCGACTGGACCGAAAAAAATATGGGTAAAAATCAATGAAGCGGTTAAATATTCGTTCTGAATTAATTGTTCCCGCTAGTAATAAGATAATAATGGCGAGAAACAATCCATCAAATGCATGTCTTTGGGTTTAGTGAAAGAAAAACAAAGTAGTTATGATTCAGTTCACAATTTCGAAAATATGAAGGCATTAATGAACGTCTCCTTCAACACTTCCCGCTCGCCTACGAAGGTTCGTGCTGTAAACCAGGCATAACTAGTCAGATAAAATTATGGAGTCAATTCGGCTTCAATGATTGCTACCCAGAGTTCCTTTCGGTCCAGTCGCGTAGGCTTGAGTTGGTCCACGACAACATTTTTTGAATTGACTGTATACGATAGTTGTAGGCGAAAATCGTACCGTCTAAACCGGCCTTTACACACAAAATGTACGCTAAAAATCAAAAGTATCATGGTCTCTTGCAAGTATATAACACAAAATTGAGTTCATCTCGGTTTTTCAGTTCTGCTCTGATTCACAAGTAGAACGATTTTGCCCGGACTGTTTCTTGGTGTCGCAAGGCACCTGAGGCATGTGAAGACAATAAAATTTAGCCAAGGATAATGAAGCTCATCAATATCCTGTAAAACAAAAACCTTAGCCCAGAATGCAATAAAGCTTGCTACACCAAGAAAGATCAAAGATGGCACCTAACTGATCACATTATAATGAGACGTATGAATTGTTGCATGGATACGCGCTTCCAATCGGTGAATAAGTTCAAGAGACACCTTTTTATAGCTTGGGCGTATTAAATTTTCGGACCATTACAGACCACGTGTCATTTCGTATAGTATTATTTTTTCGTTTAACCGTTTGGCCATGTTGAGTATATAAGAAGGCACATGAATATGGATACAACACAAACGAAGAATCCGGCTCATTTATTGTCGGGGGAATGACACTTGAAGGTCTATTTACAGGTTGAAAATCAAAATTAGATGCTTAACCAAGAAGGGGAAGAGCTACAGAGAAGTGGCTTGTGAAGAGCAGGAAGCGCAAAAAGAAATGTGCAGTAAAGGCGCAATTACATGGCAATTTTCTCTGCAACATGTCTCGCAACAGTGTTGCGACACAAGTTGCAAGAGTGTCTACAAGGTGCAACGGAGACACAATCGTTGCCAAAGATAAAACGAATTCTACTTTTCGCAACGATTGCTGCAACTTATCTCGCAACATTTTTCATATTGCGCTCTGTTGGTTACACACTGCAATGCTCCATGCAACTTGTGACGTAACGTTGTTGCGAGACAAGTTCCAGAGAAGTTGCTCCGCGTAATGGTGGCGCCTTAAAGTATTAACATGGATGCACTTGACTGCACGTGTAAACAATTTGCTGACTAATGACCTGGGCCCTATCGTGAAGGGACTGTGAAATGGAAATAAATAATAGACCTCTTTACCTTCATATGCAAATTGCCCAAGAGTGACATTACATGAAATGGGACATGGTCCGAAATGGGACAACAAACAACGAAGGTGATGAGGTCTATTGATTTATTTTTATTTTATCCTGAAACTGTCATCTGCCTGCCATGCCAATTATTATAAAATAAGAAATATAGCCTAAAAAGTAACCTTTATAGCCATTATTTACTTGAGTACTTATTTCTTGCCTTCTACCATGATAATATGATAACCAAACTTAGTTTTGATGGGAGGGTCAGTGTATATAGGTTTATCTACAGTTGATTTTGAAAGTGCAAATGCAGCATCTTGAAATGGTCCTACCATTGAACCTCTTGTCATCCAACCAAGGTCTCCCTGACATTAAAAAAAGAAGACACCTGTTCATAAAAAGTTATAAAGTGTTTCTACTTAGAGGAAAGATTCAAGCATTACTGTAGTCTTTAAATCTTATCAAACATTGCAACAATCTCTTGCTGGATCCAAGTCAAGGTTAAGGTATAGATTGAATTCAAATTTAACCAAAATGTTTGTTTTTGCAGAGGGAGACCCTGGTCTCCTTGGTGAGAGGCAAGTGCTCTCACCACTACTCCACTCGTGCTTTCTGTAATTGGACAAATAAATCTCTTACCCCCTGTCTAGCTTTGTCTTCACTATATGCAGTGGCAACTTCACTAAACTTTTGCCCTGCCTTGATCTTTTCCATTGCTTCCATTACCTTAGAATGTTTCTCACACAGAATGTGACGAACCTTTGTACGATAAAGGAGATCTTTTACCAAGAGTAATTATAGTAATGGTCTCTTGTAATGGCTTATGATAGCTAAGATGATTATTACATTATTACAGGTATCCCAATTCAGGACTCAGGATTATATGTTAACTTCAAACCCTTTCCCTGCATTCACCTATTTTAAAACTATTTTCAGGGAGTTTATGAGTTGGTATGAGGAGGGCGATGGATTGGGGGGGGGAGTCAGGACATGATGGGTAGCCCCTGGCAACTAAACTGAAACCCATGGAAACTTGCTCCTTAGTTTAGTTAGATGGTTGAGTCAAACTTCCATATTCCTTGTGAGTACAGAGATGTTTCGAAATGTGTCTAGATCTAATCTTTCATACATACCTTGACAGCTGTACCTCCTTTCTTTTCTTTTCCCTCTGCGGCCTCTGATCCACCAGATGCTCCTCCTTCAGGTAGTACAAAAGTACTAAGTTAGTATAGAGAACAATAATGCCTTTGAGAGCTAGGGCTTCTAGGATCAGATTGAATTAAAGGGACTGTGGTCAGGGGAAAAGGAAAGAAAGCATGAATATTGTTTCTTTCCATACATTCTCTTCTCCTTTTGTCTGAGTTTATTTGATGTTCAGTAACCCATTTGTCAGTCAGTCAATTAATCAATCAATCAGTCAATGAAACAATCAACAAATCATTAAATTTAAATGTGAAGGGTGACATTTATATTGATGCAGTAGCTTCTTTATTATCAGCCGTTTTCATTTTACAGGATAAACAAAAACACTGACTTTATTTGATGTTACTTTGCTGACTCTATGGTTTTGAAAAAATAGTTTGTAAATGAATAACGTTTTATTGCTGCGTTATTCTATATTTACTGTGAACGAATTCTACTTGAATTTATTTCTAAACTCCAAGATATCATGCTTCAACATTACCTTTGCCTCCTTTTCCACCCTTTCCTGCATTTTTATCCTGTTTATTCCCGCCGCCACCTTTGCCTTTCTTTGGAGGCATTCTTCTTCTATAGTACTACCTAAGTATGATGTAGCATTATTATCTATGGGGGGAGGGGTTAAATGAATATTTTTACACAATTTATATTGGGTTTTAAATATAAAAATGATAACTAGAAGTACGACATAATGTTAAAGATAATGTATTTAGTTGGAAAATTAGGGCAGCAACTATCACAGAAATAATATTTTTTTTCCTAGGAAGCAATAAAATATGTTTCCTGTCCCCTCCCCTGTTAAAGTTACTAAGCGCGAACCGCTGGCTGGTTTTACTTGAGCAGGCAAGATGGCGGACAGAAAAGACAGTGAAGTGAACTATATTTAGTGTTTAAAAAATCTACATATCATGGAGATTGGACCTTCTTTGCCTCCGCATTTGTTAAAGAAGGGAAAACATGCTTTAACGGAATCTGAAGATACCGTCGAAATAGGCCCAAGTCTTCCTCAACATTTATTAAATAAAAAACAAAAATGTGAACCAAGTTGTGAAGAAGAAAAACGAGAGGACAAAAAAGAACAAGACAACGACGTTTATGGACCAGCCTTACCTCCCCATTTATCGAATAACAAAAGAAATGTACCAATTGGTCCTGCTCTTCCACCGGGGATGACAAAGGCTGCAACTTTAGAAGGTAAACAAAGTTTATATATGTTCAACAAATAAAATATTTGTTGAACATATTATTTAGGGAGCTACCATGACGAGACCACTGCTCCATGGGTAACAAAGTCTTAGTTATTAAACTGTTATAATTGCAGTAGATGATGTTAAACACAGTGCACATGACAAGATTGATGATGATGATGATAATGATGATGATGATGATAATGATGATGATGATGACGACATAGGACCTGTCATTGGACCATTGCCCTCCACCTCTACTGTAAGCGCATGTCTGTTTGATCCAAACTTTTCATTGATAACATTACTTTTATTCTATGTATTTTAATGCCATTTGGCCTTTGATGAGAATGATACTGTAAATGTCACTTAATTATTTGTCTCATGATCGAGGGTCATTCGTAGAAATGACCACGAGGTTTTGACTGCAACCTACTAGTCTTCATAAGGCAATTGTTATTGTTGTTATTATTGCTGACAATAGTAACTAACAAGATGCTGTTGTTATTGATGGCATGACGAATATAGTGATGATAACGACAGCAATGGTGATGATAATTTTGTTATTGTTATTTAGTCAAACTCATATGTACAAACAATTGAAAGAGACATTGAAGCAAGATCAAAATCTATGAAAGACAAGCTACAAGGCAAGGTATAACTTTCTTACATACGGTAATAGGCTATTGTGCATCTCTTGATAATAAAGTTATATTGTATTTACATGCATCCTTGTTCCATTTTCAAAAGTTCACATTCCACACACATTATTTTATCAATTTTCTTTTCTATAACAATTTCTAAAAACCTTACTTATAAACCATACAAGTTTGTATTTTCCTTTATTCAAGAATGTGGTTAAACAAAAAAGAGAAGAATGGATGACAGAACTTCCACAAGGAATGGCAAAGAACTTTGGTGAGAAAACCTCTCACTTTATTTACTTTTCATCTAGTTAAGTCAGTGCTTGTTGTTTTTATTAACAAAAATAATGTACTACAGGTCTTGGCCCCAGAACATTTAGACGACAGGCAGTAGACCTTGGTGATCAATCAGTCTGGACAGACACCCCTGCCGATAAGGCCAAAAAACTGGTATGAATAGATAATTTCTGAGATGTGTGAGTGCTTTCATAAATATTGCAGTCACAGACATTAAAACAAGGCTTTTTCGGGCAGTGTGATAAGAAACCAGTGAGCTATGTTCTTTCAAAACATTATTATCGTGCTCTCTAACTAAAAGAAACTTAAAATATTCCTTTGTTAACACAATTTTCAAAGTTTTGTATGTATTTTCCATAGCTCACGTAATGGTCTTGCCCAAAAATGCCTTTTTTTAAATCTGAGCATGCAATACTTGCACATCTTGAAAAAGATCTATTGGTAAATAAATATTATTATTTATATTTATAAATGAATTTATCATGTTCTAGTGTTTCTCTGCATTTTCAATTCACAATATATTAATTGGAATTTATACCTTAGATATTTTTATTATCAAACCTTGAAACAACCTCCTGGCTGATCTGCAGCTGTAAGTCATGACGTGGCATTCGGCATGTAGAGAGTTGGAGGGAGGAAAACTAGAGAACATGGAGAAAAGCCCTTGAATCAGGGGAAAGACCCAACAAACACTGAAGCAAGAGGCAATAGCACAACTGTTATACCACCCTTGATTGAACCTCAAAACTGTGATACGCTACTAATAAGTAGACTAGGAAAAAAGTGCTTTTTGGAAGTAATTGTTGACAGGGTTTTTAGAGAATTATTCCATTACTTTTTAAGGCTGGAAAAAACAGTAAGAGCTCAGCAAATGAGACTTTGTATAAGACGCCATGGGAAGAAGAAAAAGAAAAGCACATGGAACAGATTGTAAAAGAATACAATGTAAGGAAAATGTTTGCAGAAATTCATTCACATTCATTAAACATTAGTACTCTCTTTCAGTGAACTCTTGTTTTATCTTTTGTGAGCATTTGGGCAAAGGTAGATCCAGAAGAGTGAATTGGGTGGCCCCCCAAAGAAGACATGATTTGATACTCTTGTTCATAACTCTTCTCCCCCCCCCCCCCCCCCCCCCTCCTTAAAATTGTCCAAAATTGGGGACATTTCTTCACTCATGTACAAACTTGGAATTTATGTTGCAACTTCTTATGTGATTGAGATTGGCTTTCGATAATTCCAACCAAGTAACAATAATTATTTTCTGTTACAGAAAACAAATAGAGAAGAATCACTCCTAGAGAAGCACCAGAAAAAGATGAAAAAACAAAAGGTAAAGACGTCAATTCAATATTTTTTGTGCTGACAATTCCTGATGTCAGAATCAAGCATTACAATTGTTTCTCAACTCATTATTAGTATGTGTAATGGTCTTTGTATTTTTGAAACTTTTCAGCAAGAAGAGGGGATGAAGCCCAATGAGAGAAGACCTTTTGATCGTGACAAGGACCTTGCGAATCCAATGATGGATCCATCAAAAAGAAAATCATTGATAAATAAATCACAGGAACTAGGATCACGGTTCCAACGTTCCAAGTCTGGCTCCAGTTATCTTTAATTTCTTGTAAAATAATTTCTTCTACAAAAACATAATGTCAATGATATTCGTTTGTCTCTCATTTAATAATTGTACTGCACGTTTTTTTAATGCTATGACTATCAATGACTACATGTTTCTTGGCACTAAATTGCGACTATTAGTTAATATCTATTTTGTTTTTATTTGACGGATTAAGTACCATCATTCTAGAGTGCACTCACTTAACCCTTGAATAATATTTAATACTAATTAGTAGTAATTCATACAGAATCCTTTGTTTTCTATYGTTTGATTATCACTATTTAGWACTAAAAATTAGTATTTGTTTCACGGGTTTAGTGCGAGCACTCTATCTTCTGAAATAAAATAGACTATTAATTAGGAGAAGTTGCATGCTTCACCGACTTCCGGAAGCGCTAACCAAGAAGACCACAGGATACCCATAAAATTTGATATTTTTAGCTTGGTATCCCTGTGGATTACAAAACAAAATGGCGCGCTACAGTTCTGATTCGGACGACGATAGAAGAAGCAAAGAAAAACGGTCCAAAAGCTCCCGTAAACGTGACAGACGGAGTAGAAGCCGTAGTAGAGACAGGAGAAGAAGGTCTAGGTCCCGTAGTCGAAGCTCTAGATCGCATAGAAGAAGAAGTAGAAGTCGAAGTGTTGACCGAAAGTCGAGTGAAGACAGATACTACAGCTCAAAAAAATCGAGGTACTGGACAATCAAAACTTATATTCAACATTTTAGATGTTAATCGTAAAATTTAATAGATAGTCTAAATACTAAAAAAAAATTATTTTTCTATTTTTTCCTGGTGCTGTTTTAGGAGTGACAGAGGTATGTTTAGTTAGTACAAATGTCTTGAGTACTAGTCACATAAGCATAGAAAAGTTGTCTCGGGACACGAGACAGCCGCCCCCTTGAATTACCCTGCGCTGCGCGTGCGAATGTTTCATACATTTCTTTGGAAAATTCCCCCTTCCGTATACCTGAAGGATTTAACTCGTCTCAGTTAAGAGAGACAACTTTGGGGTAGAGTCAACTCGTAGGTGATGTGCACTAATATGTAACCTCTGACCTGAGTCAGAAAAAAATCCATTTGGGCTTTCTGTGTCATTGAGACCTGAGTTTTACTATAAAAGTGAAACTCCATTGATAAGGTCTGTAAAGTTGTCTTGTGGGGGAGGGCTGTCATTGGTCCCTGAGACAACTTTTCTCCATATCTTCACTAGGTTTCAAGTTGGGCTTGGAAAAATCATAGTTAATAGAGGGGAATGGTTAGGAAACCTATTGTTATCAGGTCTTTGTTCGCTTTTGATGTTGAACCGGTCTTGACCGTGCACAATGTTTGATTTATGCTCATCCGAAATTGCAAAATAAGTAAACATAAACTTCGTCTATGGGATTATTGTAAGGAATATTCAAATATCTCTTATAAATCTTTAAGGTATTTTGAACTAGCAGCCAAGAGAAAGATTTTGGTCTGTTCACTCAGCCATTGCCAACAATGGTAAAACAATTGTAAAACAAAGGATTGTGCACGGTCACGCTTGAAAAAAGTGAACAAAGACTTATAACAAAAGGGTTTCCTAACCATTTCCCTCTATTAACTATGGAAAAATATGTTTAGGATTTACATGTACATTTATTTAATTTGCAATATCTTGCGACATTGATGCAAGCTGTCACAGTATTAACATGGGTTGTACAAGTTTGTAATCTTTTTTATTCTTCAAAAGATAGGAGAAGTAGGTCACCAGGTAGCAGTAGAAATAGTGAAGAGCGCCAAAGAGAGAAAAGGTGAAATCAATCTCTGTGTAATGTTCAAGTTATGTAAGATTTATGTAGTATAGGGGGAGGGGAGGGTAAGGAAATATTCACAATGACATCATTGTCCTTTCTTTCCGATTCAAAGTAATAAAGGTATTCAAAAGCTGTAATTCAAATGGCCTATTTGTTTAAAAGCCTAGTATTAACCCAGTGGTTTTTACTGTAAGCCATATTTTGGGGCTGTTTTTGTGTGAGTGGAAAACACACAGTATTGACTTGGAACGTGGATGGTATGACTTCCTGTAACATTGCAATGGCTTCCCATTGTCCACTAATTCCTTTTATCATGATGCTTAGTCATGGCTACGTAAGATGTGGTAGAGTCACAGTATGCCTAAAAATTTGCCAATTATTAATATATGAACATCTGCATTTCAATAATTGCTTAGTTTTACTTTTTATTCCTCTAGGGACAAAGATACTGCTGTGGTATGTTGCAAAATTTGTTATTGATTTGAAACAGATATTTATGAACTTTACTATACTACCATTATCATTTTAGTGCTATTAAGATTCGCAAAATCTATGACAGCGACGTCAACCGGAAGTGTAAATAACTTCTCTTTAGGGTTATGTTCATTAGAGATTTATTCAAAACATTGTCAGTAAAGTCAACTCATCCACAGGGAAGACAGACTTTGAAGACACCCGGACCCTAAAGGGAAGTTATTTACACTTCTGGTTGACATTTCCATCGTAGATATTGCAAATCTTATATTCCCAAATACCTGTCTTACACATTATACCTTAATAAACTATCAAAGTAGCTGAAATGAAGATTAATTAAAACATTTTATTTATGAACAGGAAAAGACCAAACAAAGGATAAAAGAAGCTCTAAGTCAAGCAGGTAATGAGAAAATAGACACATCACTCTAGCTGTTCTCAAAGTAGGGCACCAGCAGTGAAAACATGAAATGAATGAATCATTTGTTTGTGCTATGTAGTAACACAACATTTTTCATTCATTTATAGAAACTAATGATGATGACCTCCTTAAAGCTAAGGAAAGGAAAAAGCTTGGTAAGCTTAAGGACCTCATGGGTATTACTCACCCATGGGTTTAGTGTGCCCACTGATTCTGATGACAGTGACCCCCATTTTTTATTTGCTCGTTTTACTTCTAGTATAATTTACTTTAATCATGCAAAAGTTTTAAAATATCTGATTCTCTAGCCTGTGTACAGCTTCCCCCTCCCATTTTCCCCTATGGACAGAAAGGGCTGGGAAGTGGCTGTACACATGCTTTAGAGGCTTTGCACCATCACATGATGGTGGCCGTGTTAGATGGCATTAACAATACAGTTGTTTTAGATGAGAATGAATTAAATTCTCAAGAGCAAAGGGATTTTATTGTTTTGCCATCCAACCACAGAGCAGACCAAGCTGTATTATGGGCACTGGCACATGATGGTGCAAGGCCTCTATTGCCAACAAATCTTCTTAATATTAAAGAAAAACTATAAACCTTGCCAGTCTTTTTTTTCTTTGAATAACCCTTAATTTGTCTACCCGTATAATTTCAAGGAAAAGAAGTGATACCAAATGCAGATGCTATTGCTGAAATAGAAAGTAATGAATTTGTGCAACAGAGTTTTACATCCAGTTATAAAGACAAACAGGTATGTTGTTGTAACAGTTTTCATTCAAGCAAACATTCCCCTTATATGACATGTTGATGCTGCTAAGCTAGGCTCAGGTGGTCCTCAGGTCAAACATCAAACTTCACATGAGCTGATGGATAACAAGGCAGTCTTCTTTGATGTTATTAGGTTAGGCTCATATGAAGTTTGACGTTTGATACGAGCCTTGATCACACCAATACTCTTTTTTAGTCTACAGTTGATAAAAGTCAACCAGACATCTTGATAAGCAGCACCAAACAAACTCCTGTGGTTCCTATCAATGTTTTCATGGATGCGAGTAACAGTGAAGGACTTTTTGCAGCACGTGTAAGTATCATTCAAGTATTGAGTTATAAAACCAATGATTTTCCAACTAACTGATACTGATGGCTGATCTCCAGCTCCTTAAAGCCCTTTATATGAAGAGACTTCTATCCATCTATGAACTAGTGAGGGGAATGAAGAGAGTAAGAACATTTCTTATTCTTGCTAGCTTTTGTTTGATTAATATGCATGATCCCTCGTACTGTATACTGATGACTATCTTGAAATATAAGGGTTTTTATTCACAAATGATTGAAGAAAACTTAGAAGAAATACTGTTCAGAAGTATTTTTTAATCAAGAGGAATAATCAATGTGTTTTCTAGGTTCTTGAAGATGAGAGCACAAAAATGGAAAGATGGATAAAGAAAATGACGGCTACACGGAACAAGATGTTAGCTGCTGGCTCTTTAAAACACTGAGTAAAAAATGCAATTCAGATCTGCTCCAAGAGTAAAACTCAAGAGTTCGAGATGCAACATATTGTTTCTTCAAGCTACTTGCTGTGACGTACATCAGTTTCAGTTATGAAGTGAAAAATTTTGCAAGTCAAGAGAATACTGTCATCATCAAATTGTGGCAAACTCAGTTCCTTGCATTGCCTTGTTAGATTTCACTCGCAGAGTGAGAAAACACTGTTTTCTGGCTATTTCTGTAGCTTTGACTTCGATAAATTTTCCAGCCAGAAGGGTGTCTTGGGGGTGCATGTTACATCATAGCCGCCATGTTGATTGACTGGACAATTGTCTTGTTATATTAACCAACATGGCGAATGTTTCATTGTTATATTTTATGGCTGCATCTTAACCATACAAATTTAGGTGACTCATATTGTAGCATGACAACAAACTACAAACTATTTTCTTTGGCATATTTGCAACTTGTGTATTGCTTGAACATAAATAAATACAAGCGGCGGCAATTTAAGACATCAACTCACTCAACAACAAATAATCCCTCACGGGATCCTATATTTGAATGCCCTATTATAAAGAAATCTTACAAATACGACCAATAAACGCAAGGTCTAAGATTTGCTTTAAAATGAACGCTTTCAAAACGTTTTATTATAAAATGCGACATCAAGTAGAACAATAAAGGTCTTTGTCAAGTACAATAAAAGGTGCCAAAATTACGGCGTTTTGCAGTCGCACGCGCGAAATCGTAATTTTCTGTCGTAACAAAAAAAGTTTTGATGAATGTCAATCAATTTGTTTCCATGATATTGTCGGAAAACAAAGCTTTTAATGACACGCTTCTAATGTAATGTCATCGAAACGCCTGATTGATGCCCACCAAAACCTATACTTCTTATACCTATACCTATACTAAATTGTACGAATCCGTGCGTGCGTTTGGCAGGCGGTGTATCAGCAATCGATGTAGTTAGGAAATGGAATGTTTTCAATGATCGTGGCTGCACCAAGTACAGAGTACGGCTGATGTAGAACCTGAGGTAAGGTTGCCCAATTTTCAGAGCATTTCGTATGGTAATGGAATGGTCTAAACGAAAATAGCTCCTTCAAGTACAACATGGAACAGATGAAGAAAGAATTCTTAAGTACATCGAAAAGTGTCCTGATTGCCTCGGCGATGAAGATTTTTAATAATTTTGGCTAAGCCAAGAAACTCTTGGAGAAAAGGTTCACCCAAAGGGGATCAAATTTGCAGTGCGCTCCATARTGTATGGTTTCAAAATGTTTTCAACAACCATGGTTGCATCAAGTACAAAAAGAAACTGATGGAATCAGAACTACAAGGACGTAAAAGATGCACAGCCCAATCCCTACGGCTTGGGTTTCAGTGTCAGCAATCGTGGTTGCAGTAAAGATCCTGAATGTAAGCATACGCGACAAACATGCAGTACATGATTACAAACGAGATTCCAAGCTTTTTGCTTAGCAGGAACTTGAAGAGGATGACCAGAGAAATGGCTATGGCGAGGATGAGCAGTAGAATGAAGCTAAACTTGGCGTGTGGTACTAAAATCATTTCACCAGAAGAAAACATGTCCTGAAAATAATACAAAACAAAAAATGATTAGGAAACATTGCGTCTTTATGGAACAGCTCAAATCAAAAGAAGAGTTTTTGGCGGTTTGATACCATCAACGCAACTGAGTAATTTGAAAACTTTTTCCTTTATTACGATTTTTAGAAAGACGCCAGGAAAAGAGCTATGTAAAGTTGTTTCCTTTCTGGCCAGGAATGCCTCGAAAACGTGGGTAGCATTTGAAAAGACGAACCTATGAATTCCTTTTCACCTAGCAACTTCCGATTTTGGCAGGTGCATTTTTTGTGCTTGGATTACCCGGTAAACCCCTCAATAGCTGTTATAATTACAGTTGAGCCCGCAATGAGAAATTCTTTTGTTTGAAGAATCATACAAGTGATGCTATCTGGCTGATACAATGCTTGTTGTCTTATTTACATCTTATCTGCATGCATCCATAATAACTAGTATTCGTAATGCAATATCTGCCCTTTTCTTGTCATTGAGGGGCAGTCGGCCCATTGATTGATTTGCTGAGTGACAAGTACTTGAGGGCATTCGGATCACATATGCCAAAAGGATTTTTAAAATATGTTCAAATACGAAAACTATTTTATTACCCGTTCAATTTCAGAGAGCATCTGAATGGATTCACCGTCAATTAGAATTTTAATGACGAATGGTAGTCCAATACCAAGGTTGATGTCGAAGACATTAGAGCCGATAGCGTTGGATACTGCCATATCTCCGTATCCGTCTCTCGCAACAAGGATTGAGCTCAGGGCATCCTGTGGAATAAAGTATTATGAGTAACTAACTTTATCATCACTTTGAAGAGAGCTGAGATCTAGATATTAATGTGCATAGACCTTCGCATAAATATTCTAATTATAGGCGGAAAAGTACTAAGCCTCGCAATGAGTCAATGAGACAATGGTTCATCGTTTTCATGCACGCAAGGGAGGTTTGGTACTTTTTTTTACATACGGGTAAAGAATAGTGAGAGAGGGGTGGATTGGTCTGGATGTGTGTGCACTTCGCAATCGGCACAACCTCATTTGCCGTGTACATTTGTCTATTCAAATTCCTATAAGTTCTTCATTGACATTATTATTCTAAATACAATTAATGTACAAATAAAGTTGTTGTTGAGAATGAAGGTAACCCATTTACACACATCACACTAAAGACAGACAGTAACTTACAGGTACACTTGTTCCTATGGCAACCACCACCAAACCCATCGTAAACTTATCCACACTAAGAATACAACCAGAACGTCCGACCAGTGTGACCATGGCAAAGCTGAGGATGGCGATCCAAACGATTGACATTATGAACGAAATTAAAAAGTATTTCCGGTTATGAGGTTTGGAACAGTCTGGTATAGTCCACGTATACAGGCATACGAAAGGAAAGCTCAATACAAAGAGTATCCAGCTAAGAATGAACTTGATTGTTGCCAGGCAGATTCCTTCATCTGATGGATACTCAGGAGTCTCTGCAGAGACTGCAGGAAGACAAGGACACACTTTCATCTTACGTCCCTCTTCTTCTTCGTCGTCGCCAGCCTTCTGTCCTTCAACATCTTGTCCCTCTGTGGGCTGAGGCCCTGGTTCCTTATCTGATATCCCTGCAGCATTGCCATTGGCGTCTAGTGGTATAACGAGGTCTGCAGTTGTTTGTGAGAGGGGATGTGTTTGCATCATCAACGTGTTGCGTCGTATTTCACGCTGGATTTGTCCTTGTGCCACGGACTTGATCCTGATGTGCTCTGGGTGATGCATGTGCATGGAGCTCCTGCGATGAACCTGATCAAGATCATTGTGTGATTTAGACTGCCTTAAAATTGGAAATGATATGGAGAGTCGAGGCGTGTCGTGGTGCTGGCTGCGTCGTAGGGGTATGTGTAACTGAAATCAGAAACAAGACACTGAGTTCATTTTAAGAAGGCACGAAAGACTCCATACTAATGACTTGCCCAATAACTGCTGGTTGAGCGCCCCCTTACAAAGGATTATTTAACGAATTCTTAACAGTACTGATAGTATTGACATGATTAATTCAAAAACCTCTAACATCTCTACCTGATCTGATCTCACTTTAGATCCAGTGAAACGATGAGCTGTCTACCTCTTGGACGCACCTGCACCTCTCTACAACGACTCCGTGATTCTGACTCTACCTAACACTACTTAACAAAAATACTAGAGATATTTAGCATTTCATTTTAAGCTTGATCCTAGACACAAAGGGATGCATTTGCAGACGAAAAGGCGCTTTCGGGTAGCAAGAGCTAGAGCACACTTAAGGAACTAAGAAAGTAATTATGTCCCAAACCATCGAGTTTTGCATCTTTTCCCCTCCCATCTTTCCCCCTCCTGTCTTTCCGTCTCCCATCTTACCGCGAAAGCTATACGGATTAGGGAGAATTTTTCATGTGGAATATCAATGTTCGATGCATAGTTTGGATTTTCAAGTCTTTTGAGGAAAGATTTTAGTTTATTTCGCTGCTTTTGTTAATCTTGTCTAGTAACTCTTGGCGTTTTTTTAGTCACACTAGAAAAATAGAAAAACAGCAAAGGCAACTCTTAAAAATGAAACATCTAGTTATTAGATACAGATAAATGAATGATGATATGAGATATCAGAAAAGAGTTGGACTTACAAATGAAGACGACAGTTCTCCTTTGTGTACGTGTTCAAACTGGCGTCCATGAATGCTGTGTTGCGAAGTGTGTTTTCTTTCACCGGCCTCGCCCTGAAAATTGCATGAGAAAAAAAAAGGTTACCTGCGGTTGCTTWGAAATTTAAACGTTGCCTCGTTGAGCTACTACTGATCTTAGTAGAATAAAAGTTACCTCTTTGTGAAGTGGGGGAAGCTTGCCTGCTGGTGTACCATGACTCCCCTGTAGAATCGTGACTTCAGGTTCAGTCACCAAAGACTCTACCTCTGTAGTCGCTAATTTACTGGCTTGGGCACGATGAGGGCTGACCTGACCTCCCTTTGGCCTGAACATTGAAATATAGAAGAAAGTATCTATCACTTGCGATATTAAAGGTTTACTAAAATGATGTACGAAGCCACTTAAAACTGAAGAACGCCATTGCCTTACCCAATTCCCGCGAGCAAATCCATCAGTTGAGGATTATACTTCATGACACCAATGTAAAATATGTAAAGAGCAAGCAGGATGAGAGCTTCATATAATTTAAACACGCCGTCCCAAGAGAAAACAGCAAATAAAACTATTGATAAAGCGTAAGCGATGCCATCTCGAAGCATGGGTCGCCAGTCTAAATGCAAAGTCTGAAAACGAATGGGAAATCAAACTATATTGGTTGTTTTCATTGATGTAACAAAGATCTAATTTTCTTTTGCCGTTGAATCTCAGAATTAGAAACATAAAAGAGCCAGTCTCCAATCTAGCCTCCTCCACAGCAAATAAAACTATTGATAAAGCGTAAGCGATGCCATCTCGAAGCATGGGTCGCCAGTCTAAATGCAAAGTCTGAAAACGAATGGGAAATCAAACTATATTGGTTGTTTTCATTGATGTAACAAAGATCTAATTTTCTTTTGCYGTTGAATCTCAGAATTAGAAACATAAAAGAGCCAGTCTCCAATCTAGCCTCCTCCACGCACAGGGCTAGCTCCAATCCAGGTGAACTAAATTTTTGGGGAGAATAGTCACCTTCACAGTTCCCTGCGCCATCTTGAAAGGTAGCCGTGCCTTTGCATCGAAGCGAGACGAACGGTGAGCTTGCAATGATAGAGACATGCGAATAATTGTCCAAGGTCATAAAAAAAGGTCCCTAACTTTACATGCTCACCGTTCGTCTCGCTTCGATACAAAGGCACGGCTACCTTTCAAGATGGCGCAGGGAACTGTGAAGGAGACTATTGAAGCCGGAGAACCGGAAGAAAACCCCTTGACCCAATAGGAAGGGAACACACAAGCAGCTCAGCTGACACGTGTAGCGGGTCCGAGGATTGAACCACAGCTGTGAGAGAAAGTCTTGGTAGTCTTGCTCCAGGCCCTACTGTAACAGTCCTATTAACTTAGCCTGGGGATTACAACACAATAGCATAGTCACCTGTCCAGAGAAAGCTGCTGTCAGCGCAATGATTACTAAGAGGTTGAAAACTGCACTTCTGTTGATGGAAAATGTGGCTGATATTATCGGTATTATTTGTTTAACGACAATAATCGCGAGGAAAAATAACTTGAAAATGCAAACAGACATGCAAAAGTAGTATTTTAGTATTTGCAACAATAGCAACAGCAGCAGCAACAACAACAACTCTAACAAGATCGGGAACAACAAGCTGGGAGAGATGCAGAGGGATTCATTAAGAACTAAAACTTTTGATGAAGAGAGACCTCTACACCACCCAGAACTCAGTACGAAAACCCTTTTCGAGCATACCCTACGACTGTTCCAACTCCTACGTCACTATCCACAGTAACACCAGCAACAGATGTAAAAAGTTCTGGTGCCGAAGAACCCGCTGCCATGAAGGTGGCACCGGCCACGTCTTCTGAAAGATCGAGCTTTTCAGAGATGGCTTCCAATGATGGAACAAAGAAGTCGTCGCATACTATAGCAAGAGCTGAAAACAATATTGCATCACTTTAGTGCTGTAGCGCTTGTGTCGTTGACAAATTTCAGAGAAGAGTTTTTGGAAAGGTAAGGCAATAGTAAAGATCTATTTTGGTATACCCACGATGCNCCCCCCCCCCCCCCACTTTCTTTGGGCCACAGCTATAAGAGATGTTACTGATAAAGCAATTATGGTTGGTCCAAAAGAGATTAAAATAAAAATGATCGTTAACCCAAAATACCCTTAAATGACATTGACCCCACTCCACTTCTCTCTGGACCACTTCCATATTTTGGTATGAATGGTAGTGATTGTATTTGGTCCGAAAGGGTTGGAGTGAGAAAAAAATTACCCCCAGCCACCCACAAATGACCCCCTCCCATCCTCTTTACATGGGCCACACCCACTAAAGTTATATATTTGATATAGCTGTTACTGAAACAATTGAGAATAAAGGGTTTGCAGCTAGAAAGACATATTACCCACAAAAAATAAATGAATGAATGAATGCCTCAACCCTTCTCTTCCTACTCTTTGGGACGTACCCTTTTAAGGTATATTTTGATTCTTCTTTACTGAAGCAACGTGTATCTATGTACCTGAAGTTAGTAACTAAAGTAGAATTGGTCCAAAAGGATTGGAAGTGCGCCGAACAATGGAATGCCCCGAATCCTTCTGTAAGAGCTACACCCTATTACCATTGATAATATATTTTTTCAAAGTTCACTTATATAATCATTATTACAAATGAATAGTATCTGTATCCTTGATGCTTTTATGGTTGTACATACCTATGAAGATCACTAGTACCCCAAACACGTATAAACAAAGCCATCCATAAGCCGAGTTCCCAGTCCACCAGCTTCCCGGATCGGAATAGTTTCGCGTATTTCCGATTTCAAAATCGCATTTTTCCCATTCCACCGACGATAGCAAGTGACGAGAACGGTATACTACTTGATCTGTGATAAAATTATATATGTATATAAATGATAAAAGTATTCTATTCAGACACATTGCGTCCTGAAGCGGAGCATAGATCAGAAGTCAGTTTTATAGGGGATTCGAAACGGGATGATGATGCTCAGTTTATTTTACCTTTTGGTACCCCCATCCACCTGGACACTGGTTTTCCTCCTTAATTGAAAATTGCTGACTCATTGAGATCCCAAAATAACGAAATCCATCAAAGTAACGAAAAAAGAAAAAAAAAGAAGACATACACAGCATTATTATTGGCTGACGATGGGCAGTTTTTAGTATGTGTCCTGTTTACTCATTACAGATTACCGGTCACCCTCATCCCCTTGAGTATCATTACATTGCTTACCGGTAGCACAGATCAGTATGAACAAAGCTTAAGCAAAGATTCTTTTTTTCAAGGGGCTGAAAAGGAGAAGCACTCCCACTCAAACTAGGTGATAAGTCTACTTAAAAATATATGCTGGAGTATCCAAAATAGATAATAAATTTGGAAATGTATGGTCAATAAATGCGTTTATCAGACATTCCAGGCTTTCAATATGTCCTAGCATTTACCAATTTTCTCTCGATCTCCAGATCGTGGGTTTTATATTCCCTTTTTTAAAAAATGTATAGAAAACGTGCGTGCGTGCTGTACACGGAAGGATTGGTAGAAAAAGAGAGAAGTACAGGATGTGGCACCGCGGAAATACGTTTTTTCGAGCTCGATCATTATGGTCAGCGGTATACGCGTCTTCTTTCCAAGTCGGCCATCATGGCGGCTGGTAGTGGTTTGTAYTGGTATTGGTGCGTGTTTATCACAAGAAATATCATTTTAAAAGCATCAAACTCATTGTTATCATAACAAAGAATACGCAGATGCTACATTTTCAGGAAAAGAGGGAATATTATGGGAAAAATAGATTTTTTTTTACGCCACAACAATCAGCATACTATCGAAGGTGAGTAATAATAATAATAATAATTTGAATTTTTTCCAACTTTAGATGCTCCTTCACCCTCTAAAATGAACCAAAAGTGATCCTTTTACTCCTGTAAAGATAATAAGACACCGTTGTGCTTGATTTGAACTTATAAAGTCAACTTAAGTATCCATTTTACAAAAACTCAATTTTTTTCTACCTCTGTCAGTTCTTCGATGTTCGTTCTCTTTTTACTTTCTATCTAATCGATGTTCGTTCTCTTTTAACTTTCTATCTAAYCAGTGGTTGCATATCCGATAAAATTGATACTTTTACCTTTTAATTGTACACTGTAAAAAGTAGAGAATGATAACACCTGCTTGGGTGAAGTAATTTGCTTYATTTTTGGACCTTAAAATTGAACTAATTATTAAAGTTTGTAGAAGGTTTTCTGACAATAGTATTTCCATCACTRCCCCAAATTGTGATTGATTTCACATAATTTTGTAAAAGTAAAAATAAACCATACCGTATCACACATGTGTAACTACACTGTTTTCTGTGTAACACAATCAGTGATGATTGAAATTTATCAGTTTCTAAAAGTTCCATGGTCGTATTTATATTTACATATTTTGTACATATCATCTACATATTTATTTACATATCTATTTACATATTTATTTACATTTTCATTAACATATTGATTGTGTGGTTAAAAAAATCGCCACTAAAATCATTTATTCCTCTGGAATTAGTTGTTGCTTGTGAAGTATTGCTTTTATTGATGACAATTTACTTTGAATGTGTTGCTTAAAAGAAGCAGACTTGAAATATTTATAATCTTTGCAGCTTGTAGGTACACTGGGATCTTCATCATCACCAGGATCCTCATCATCGTCATCATTATCATTCTCAAAATCAATGTCGTCATCTTCAACTGGCTTTAACAGCTGAATGTTCCATGCGTAGGAGAGTTGCTGTACATCTTTAATGAGGTTTGACAGACAAATGCTACATTCGTTATCTGTCAAACACTCATGGTGAAATGAGTGACCACATGTCAGTCGCTTGGTTGAGGACTCTACTGGTGCTTGACAGTCATGACTATCACAATCCACAGTGCTGTTGGGTTGAAACAATGGCCATCTATAACCCAAAGGCAGACTTTTCCTACAGAAGGCTTTGTTAAAGCTTGCAAGATGGAATGAAGATTTCCCGTATGGTTTGCCAGCCTTGTTAATTGGTCTTGGGAGCTCATATGACTGACCAAGATTTGTTGCTACACGTTCAAACATTTCCATGATACTTTCAGCTGCTAGACCTGAAAAAAAGACTACATGTTASAACTATAKACATACATGTATGTTTATAAGCACAGTATTCATGTTTGGAATTGAATTGATGGATATACAGATTGAATCTAGTTTGACAATGAATTTTTTAATTATTATTACCAGACAGTAGAAGCAAATCTTGGTCACTAATTCCTCGTTKGTAGCCATTGACATAGTCTTCTTCRAAGTAGTTCGGTTCACAATTGGACCTGGCCAGTAGACGGGCTGTTTCTTGAATTTGTGCGGCTTTGTCATTTTTACTTATTCYGCTTCTCAATCGTGAATGGAATATCTCCACTTTCTTTTCGCTAATTACAGAGCACAGATGTTGTTTGGCATTGTGATATTCTTGRAAGGAGCTTTGATGGTAGTTCTTGTCACTAATCCATGACAGAGTGGCTTTATTATAATGGTGGCGTTCCATAGCTATAAACATAATGGCCAATCTCTTCATTGATTCTTCAATGTATTGAAAGCTACCTCCCTTGACAAAAACAGGGTAATGAAGAAATGTGAGTGGGACTAGTTCTTCAAATAAATGGAACAAACAGACAAACTCTACATCTTTACACTCTTGAAAAGCTGCAATRATTACATCTCTGATCTGTAACCAGCCTGMAAATGYAAGTGTGATGCACAATGAAATCTTCTCTGGCTTTGGTTTCAATGGCAAGATCTTTCTTTGGCCAAATACTGACTTGTACATCTCTTGAAATATTGGATGGTATCTTATGATAACATCTTCAGTGGCATTCAAGTAGACATGGAACTGCCCAAGCTCAGGAATCATGGAGTCATGTTTTTCTGATGATATACAAATATTTTTCTTGTGGAAGTACCATGTTGGCCAGTCTCCAGCTACAGGAAGGACATTGGTGTTTAAAAATGTTGACAGCTCTGGCAGTACTTGGAACATATACTGGTGGGTGTCTCTATAATCATTAAGACTATGTAGATCTTGTTCTATCTCATCTATGAGTACAGTTGATTTTAGAGACTGGGATTGGTCTTCTCTTGCATAAACTCTGTGAAATAATATGACAATAATATTGAACTCCCTTGCTATGGGCATRGRATACAAAATATTAGAGTCATCCAGTGTCATAAGTACTTATAGTACTTAATAGTTTTACTTTTTCGACTAGTACTATTTCGAGCTAATTATTGGAATGGTATTGTAAGGATATAGACTGTGTTTTCACTTGTTATGCTAAGTATTTTATTATTTGACTCTGTTGTTGTATAATTTTTATTGTAAATAAAAATTTTATATCCCCCAGTTGTGCTTACTTAATGTTGGATGATTATAATTTGATGCATACCTGAGTTCTTTCAAGGATTTCCTCAGCAAGCAAGGATTTATCTGTTTGTAACTTGCAGGAAGACCCTCCAGAAATGTGTGTTGACAGTACTGAGACCATGTTGCACTGATTTCTCGTACAACAGCTTGACTGCAGATTCCTCCTTTGCATATTAATTGTTGAGGTTGTCTTCCAGGTATATGAACTGTTACTTCTCTGTGAACCTTATTCACTGACTTGACTGCATCGTACTGGTGGATATCCAACATGATGCTGGCCATGTGAACAGCATTTGATATCTGTCTCCCCTGTGGTGTCTTGATTGCATTTATGTTGTGAAAGTCATCAATCATCAAAATAAGAAAGGTTCCCTATAAAAGAAAGATTTATAAATATTGGCAGTTTAACTATATGTTATGAATTGTTTCAAAAACAACACATACATGTAATACAATAATGATTAAATGCTGATATGATGCTACAAAGAATAGTTTTTTAAATTAGGGATCATGGCATAATAATAAGTTTAATTAGATCTTTAAAAAAAGTTGTTATGTCTTGTGTTTTGCTGTTTTTTTGTTAGAATGACTAATTAATGTACCTTTTTCATAACAGAATAAAGTTTATCTTGAACTTTTTTGATATAGCCATTTGAAATCTCATGTTTCTTCAATGTTTTTGTTTTTGGGTTTCGGGCAAATCCCAAGGTTATTCCGGCTGAGAGTCCCATAGATGATAAACCTTGTAATTCCAAAAATATCCCACATTCATCTTGGAAATTGCCATGTCTTTGATTCCTGTTGAATGCATAATATGTACATGTTAAAATCAAATTAAGTAAAAAAAATATGTTTAGGAATAATTACCTGTAGTATATTAAATGCCAGATAAGTGATGTAACTCTCCTTTCTTGCATGTGCACCTTTTTCTCTCCATGTCTTTCACTTGATATACTATTAAGTAACGTTGTGTATAGTGTTGGTACATGCTGCATAACCAATGCCTTCATGTTGTCATGCCCCACCAGTGATTGTCGGTCCTTGTGCTTGTCAACTATTGTGCCCAATTTTCTCAAATTGTCCTCAAATGTTGGCTCTTAAATTGAAACAAGATTGAATCATGTAAGTAATGAAGTTTATCAATAAAAATGCTTTCATTTATCAAATAGATTTTTTGTSTAATTCTCAATAGAATAATATGTACCTTCTAATTTTGATTGAATCTTTTTCCAGGTGCTCATTTTGACTTTGATTTCTTCTTCTTCACTTTCTTCTTTTCTGTCACATTGGTTCTCTTGCTGAGACTTGAAATATAAAAATTATAGGTCATTACAAAAGTGTTCAGTGAACATAATTATATTCATGCAACGACATATATATCATTATTTTCATTGATCCCTACCTGCAGACTTGATATATCTGTATTTTCTTTATCTTCATGTAACTGGTCTGTTGTTCCAAYTATCTGTGTAAATTAATTCAATTATGATATTTTTATTTTTCAAAGTTATTTAAGTTTTAATGATAATTACTGATAAAACAGTAATACTATAGATAAGTGTATATGTATTTATATATTTATTTGACCTTTCATTAGATGTTTCAAAGTAGTTTTTTTGAAGTCTTACATGAATATATAAACATAAATTAAAATACTATTGTCAAACTTTAATAGCAAGACTTACTTTTTGTTGTTTGGGAGGTGTAATATTTTCTGAGCCAATATCTGCATCAATGAACCTTTTTGGTGCTTCTTTATGACATATATTGCACCATCTAGTGCCAGGTGTATATTGGGGGTCATTTTTGCCAGCCTGATCTAATATGGAGTGGTAAGTTTGGGGAATTTGGTGGGGATGTAAGGATTTTGAATGTCCCCAAGTTGATGGACATGAACATCTTTTGTTGTTGTTTCGCCGTATTTTATCAAAATGATGCTGACAAAGTCGTTMAWCATAGGGGATTTTTCCACATCTATGAATTTCACTGTTTGATTTTCTTAATATGCCCCTACAATCCTGTGATAACTGTCTAGTTTTGGCAAAATAACACAGCATGTTTTCAATCAGCACTAAAAAATCACAACAGGTGCTGTCGTCAGCCGATCTATTGATGKCGACAAAAGTATTTTTTTCGTCATTCAACTTTATTACTCTAGTTCATGATGTGTGCAAGCATTAAGTTTCTTGTGCAAAGTATATATGATGTAAAATCTATCAGTCTAAAAGTCACTTGACTTACAGATCTAAGTATTGTTTGTTTTGGCTAAGTTTTGACAATTTATATATGTAAGTTTTTACTAAGATGGCGCTTTGAATGCTCGGTGTAATGTAGATATGCTCGAGAAATTATCGCTATTTCGTTTAGAAAAAAGACGCTTTTTGCTTATCGAGCATAATTATATATTGGTCTATGGACAAATAAAAGAGTCATTGGCATTTGTAAACAGTTTTATTGATACAGATTTGTTTTTCTCCCTTATTTAAGTTACTTTTTCGAAGTCAAAAATTTCATAAAATGTCCGCCATTTTGTGAGTTGTTTTGAGACGCCGCTGACCAGTACAATAGAGTGATCGTAAGCGTATTTCCGCGGTGCCACAGGATGTGTATAAGAGTGCCTCTCAACACTTCTCGAGTGTTATGCCAATCGCTAAGCACTCAATTACCTCACACAGCACATAAAGCAAGTTTTAAATTTCTTTTATAAAATACAGATTAGGATAACCGTTATTTCAAACTCTAATGATGAACCTAGAAAGTGCGCGCGTGCTGTGTACTCTCATAATGCACGCGCTTCCAAGCAATCAGAACTACCGCGAGATTTATAACTGTTATTTCATATGAATCGGATATTTAACAATTGCAAATAATTCTAATATTTATTTATTACAGGAATGAAAAGGAGAATAACTCTTTTGGGTACTTTACATCGACGGTGACCAATTTCATCGATCTTTTGTTATGGTTTTATTTAGAAGAAGGAAAAAACAATGAAGCTGGTTTTCCCCCGGCTTTTCTTACGAAGGTTTTTCATTGGCTCGTGTTCGGTCGTTTTGGCCATTAATTTAATTGATCCCAATAAGTTGTACCCTATCAACATTTTCACCAAACAGCAAATAATTTTAATTTTTCTCCAGGTATTGTCACTTTTTCAGGTTCTTTTTTACCTCAGCGAAAATACTGCAAATGCTAATTTATCTTTCGTTTTGACTGCTGATCGATGCTCCGACCATTCCCACACATTTTGGCCATGATATCTCGGACGCCGCCGAACTAATACTATATTCTCATATGAAGTCTAATATAGATTTATTATCAGTAAAACGTTCTCCAGAGAGATTTCACAGCGCACAAATGCTGATGACCACTTCAATATTTAATGAAATAAACGAGGAGCCACGGAGAAATGAGAAGAAAATAAGGATCATAATGCAGCTGATGAATTAATGGAAGAGGTTCCGTTGAGGACTCGAGTTTTTAATCTTCCAGCCTCGCCGCTTATAGAATGAGTTGATTTACCTTCAGTAAAGATGAAGCTTGTCGCTAATGTTTTGAGTACCAAACCACAAGCAATAAACAAGAAAACTGCTAACATATGGCTAGTCCATTGTAGTCTTCCCTTTCTTGATCTTGCTTTAAGACAAGTCATCATAATCCATCAACTATATTCCTGTTGGTTCAAAAATAGCCATTTGAACAATATTTCGACCCAGTATTGAGACCAAAACTGGAAATTATAATATAGTATTGCTTTTGTGGGCCGGGAATATCTAATTCTATTTATAAAGCATGCAATATGCCTCGCGATTTTTTTAAAAAAAGCTTTACGATACACTCGTTTTTTAATGATCTTTCAAATTACTAAGGTATAGTTTGCTCTACCATCAAATTGACATCGACGTGTTTCAGATATTAGATTCAGTAAAGAGCTATTTTTTCGTTTCTTGATAAATCTATTATTTTGATGGCAATTTTCTTTTTCAGTGAAATCTTATCTTCTCTGAATTAATTCTGGCTAGTGCGTGGAAACCAAGCTTTTACCCAGTAAAAGAAACCTTTAGTCTAATGCAAATTTGCATCCCTTTTGATTCAACACTAATCTTCTAGACAAGCAATAAAAATGCCCTGTTCTTAGGAGATATATAGGTTCGTTAATATTTTTAACGCAGATATATTTTTTATTGTGCAAATCCAGATGACAAGATGAAGCATCTTTTGTGATTTCTTGTCGCTTAATTCAAGCCATCATGGTTTTAGTCGTTAGTTTAAATGCTTTATAAAAGGATTTATTTCAATGTGGTTTGATTAATTGAAATTCCTATCTCATAAGAAAGACAATTCAATATTCCCAAATGTAAGATAAATTAAACGTTTATCTGGGGGATGAAAATGAACAGATCTCGAACAAAAGAGAGGCAAAGCAAAGGTGCCAGACTCCAAATATACAGTGAAAAAAAAAAAAAAACGTAACGAGCTATTTTGTTATTACTATCTTCCAACCTTACATACAAAACTTACCCTCTGAAGAATGTTTCCAGAAATTCCAAGCATTTTGGTGCTAAAAGTATAAAGATAAATGTGTACAATGACAGTTGAATAAATTGCAGAAAGTGATTCGGCTAGTACTCGCCATTCACCGTTGAATTTCGCGTCATGATGACGTCAGGGTTGCCTTAGAAACCAACATTACTATAAGGGGTCCGTTGCTCATTGAACGGCCGGTGATAATAAGCTAAGATCAAATCTTATTTTGAAAAAATAGGCTGTGGTTACATTAATCTTTTAATAGGAAGGATGGTAGGGATTTTTTCGATGGATATTTTGTATCGAAAAAAAAAAAAAGAATTAAATCTGAAAAGGGCTTCCCGCCAAAACGGCAAAATAATGCCGGGCTGATATCGAAGACCACGCGTTCAAGTCTTGTACAAATTTGCACATTAAACCAGCTAATATTCTAAGGACATATTAGACTAAACCGTCATTATAAATGAGTTAAAAATATTCAGTATAAAATACACTTTGGTCTAACAGAATGGCGGCATTGCCCTTGTGCAGCGCTCGGTAGACCCGTACAATATTGCCTTGATTGTTTAATGTTTTTTAAATTAAAATAATCGAAACCTGCATGCAGTTATTTAATATTAACTAGCTTTAAAGCTTATCTACCTCATGTCCATTAAAAAATATTGGACGATTTAATATTAACGACCGTCCGCCCCATTTTGCTGCTATTCAGTATCGACATTAATTAACTGGTCAACCACTTTTGCTGAACATGATTACAAAGAGTGAAGCATGACTTTGGTTCTTGTTTTACGGGGGAAGACGTACCGGGTCGTAGTTGTTCATAGGCTTTCGCCGCTTCACAAAATTTCCAGCTCATTCGTTTTCGACCAATAGAAAAGACTTTTATGTAGTCTTGTAGAGTGAGGTGTGAAAACAGGTCCAAAAATCGCAGAAGAATCTGAAGAAAATTCTAAGAAGCGTTAGTAGTCAACGCCCTACTGAGGTGCTTTCCGAATCCTCTCAAAATATATCTTCTGAACTGTTTCATTTATACATTGAGTTCATCATTCAGCTATTTAGGTGTTTTTTAATAAAGGGTTTCTGCGGGGGCTTTGCGGAATTTATTTGAAGTACATCATCAAAAGTACTTTGCCTTATCAGAGTATAATGGGTCGCTATAGTATCAGCTATATGCGTTCGCTACAGATTGGTTTATACAACTGTGAGCCATTCATTACATTCGAGTGCCTCGCCTATCTCACTGACGGCTCCTGGCCTGTGACAGGATTTAAGACCACAGTGTTGTAAGCTTCGAATAGTAATTTGGTGGGTCCGGGAGGGCGAACCATCATTCCGTCTACAAGATCGGCACAAAACTCGCCTAAAAGCATTGCGGAAAGTACGATTTAAAAGAGTATAGATAATTGGATTAAGAGACGAATTCGAGTAATGGAGCCACTTTACTATCCGAGCCAAAGTGCCAAGTCTTGACCTTGGAATACAAAGTGGGCAAGATCTGTCCACCAGCAGCGTTATGATGTAAGGTCCCCAGCAAAAAATAAAAGCTCCCATTACGATAGCCAACGTCTTTGCTGCCTTGATTTCTGAGCTAAGTGCTCTACGCTGCCTGTAGAACGAAATCTGGGTTTTAAGAATAGGTCTTCCTTTCTTTGTCGTTGTACATAAAGTTTCTAGATCACCGTTTGTTTCTTTGTCTAATTTTTTGTTCAGTTCGATAATTTGAGCATTTATAGTGTCAAGCTTTCTTATTTTAACGGCTTGAATTCTGGCAACGCGGAATATACAAACATAACAGAAAATCATGACAGGAAGAGGAATGAAAAAACTGGCACTTGCGATGAAAAAGGTGTACCACTTACCAAACAAAGGAGTTGCTCTAATTACCGACACTGCTAAAGCATACAACCATACCAAGAAAATACAAACCAATACACGTTTCTTAGTTACATTTACAGGGTACTTGAATGGCGAAGTAATCGCGTAAAACCGATCGATACTAATTGCAGTAAGGTTCACAATAGATGCCGTTGAAGTAGCAATGTCTAAACACAGCCACAGAATGTAAAGTCCTGATGTTGATTTTGGAGAAGGCCATTGAAATGTCAAAGTAGTAAACCAAAGTGGCATAGACACAAATCCGACCAACAAATCTGCAACGGCGAGAGATACGACGAAATAATTCGTAACAGACCGAAGATCACGGAAAAGGTAGAAAGCTAAGCATACAAGGGTGTTACCAAATATGGTTCCAACGATTAAGACAGAAAGTAAAATCGAGGCAAGCACGACGTCGTCCGAAGTCGCTTCACCACCACTGGTAACGTTACGGACGGACATCATTAAGTGAAGATCTGTCATGTATTAAAATAAAGAACAATCAGTGGACCGTTATCTTGGCGTTAAGTTGCCTAAGATGAGAATTAGCTTTAAGCGAAAATCATGCAAACAGCTAAAAACGATTGGGTTAATAATCATATCAAAGAATAGAATAAAGAAAGCAAAAAAGCTGCAAGATAAGCGAAGTAACATTGAGGATAGAGAAAACGCCTCTCAGTAACGTACGATTGATTAGTACCTTTAATCTGTACCTCAAGAAAATTAGCTGGACGAAAAAGAACTCTGCGATTAACCAATGCCCGTTCCTTGCTTTACTGATTTCGATTGTTCAGAGACTGCAAATCCATCGAGAACGCCAGCTGCTTTGATCCGTCGGCTGATGTTTATACTAAAACTCCTATCCGGCTCATTGATATGCATAAACTGTTTTTTCTTCTTCCCGTTTTTTAAACTTCAACACATCAAGATTAAACATCAAGAGTGATTGACTGGTAATTTCGTAGTGGGGAATCTTTGACTGCCATGATTGACATGCATGAGAAAAAAAAAACAATATCTAGTCTAATGACACATTTATACAAGAAATAATAAAAAACTTGGGTATACGAAAACCTCTGTACTGTTCTTATGTGTCGTTGGAGATTAGATTCTAAGAAGATCGGATTTTTTTTGGCAAGACGGAGATGCCGGATATCCGTAGCACATACAATGGCTTCTAAACAAAGCGAGTAATTTGATGGAAGATGAAAAATCTTTTCAACATATTGTGTAAATGTGGCTATTTGAAGTTGGCTTCGCCAAAAGACAATTTAAATCCAAATATCATTTTAAGATTATCATAAATCATTCCTAAAAGTCATTTTTCATGCAAATGAAACCTTTATTGTATCTTCGAAAGCGTTTGGTACCTTTTACTTATATAATTGGAATTTTTAACTTTTTTGGACCCATCTCGCCCTCCCACCCTCCCATTTCTACATTATTAATTCTGAGTATTTCAAATTGGTTCAAGTATTATTGGTACAGGTGAACAGAAACCACTTTATCTTATATTTTCTAATTATTAATGGTAAACACATACACTTAAGAAAACACGATCAAAAGCTATTAAAAACTTTGCTTAGAAATGCCTCTTTATTCTTGATTATGCCAGCCGAGATATAACTTGCTAAAAAATCAATAGTCCAGCAAAAATAGGCGACAATTCTGAAACAATCCTATGAAGCTTTTTGATTGTATTGTATGATTCAATATAATCAGTTTTAATCGTAACCTGTAATCGTAAACGCCTTTAAAAATCAAACAATCTAGACAATAGATTTTGTATGATCATTTTAATTATTTTGGAATTGCTTTCTTGTTATCGAAACCTGGGATTCAATAGAGTCTTCGTAAGAACGAATCGTTATAGATATTGAAGCCGATTCCAGAGTAAGCGATCTTTTTTTTCGTATAGCTTTGGATAACACACACAGTGTAAAACCGAATAGTGACTATAAAGGAAGAATCGTTAAGATTCCACACTATCATTGAAATCAAGAAATAGTAAGAATATCCATGCGTAAATCGAGATTAGAAAAGGTGAAAAAAACGTGTGTTTTACGTTTGATATCTTGACTGTGGACTTGACTATTAAAATGATATATTGGAAACAGTGTAAAAAGGCAGGAACTGCAAACAAATCAGTCGTATAAAGAAAATGATAAATCAGACAAACAATCACAGATATTGGTTCAAGTATAAAAGAAAACTTATGGAATCTTTGATATCTTTTTCCGACATAAACAAATACTGCCAAGGCAAGCGAAAGCCTATTCAATGCTGTCTTCGTCTTCCTGAAGTGACATTCTAGCAATTCCACCTGAGTTTCCGAAAAGTCTTTTAATACGTCAACGTTTTTTCATTCTTCATTTTTCTAATACCAAATCTCGAGATCCTATATGATTAGTAATAAATTAGAAAAATATTGCGTTATTTAGTTTCAATGCTTTGGAGAAAAATAAGGACTTTTCTAGATTCAACAAAGGCAGTGACCGAATTCGAAAGATTGCAAATTTGATACTATAACATAAAGGAAGCCAGTAAAAAGATAACCAATTTATTTAGTGAATCAGTTGACGGATCCCTTAAGTTTCAAACTTGTACTTCAACACAAATTTCTCGTAACCACAGCTTATGAAAGCTTTAAAAACGTGGATCTTATCTTCCATCATTATTTATCTACCGTCTTAGTAGTTCTTGGAAGATATTATATTTGCCCAAACTATTCTTTCCATAACCTAGTTCTCGATTGAAGTCAATGATTTCAGTCGAGATTTTGATAAATCATTTCCTTTGCAAGTTWTTTTTTGTTCAACATGACAGGATGGTAGACATAGCTACTAGTAAAATATGAGATAAAACATATAAGTACAAGAGAAAGGTGTGGCTTCAATTTTCCATTTGCGTCATGATAATGAATATGTTTAGGGCGCCGATTGGGGGAAAACCATCTTCAAAAAAGATATTTTTGAAAAATATGTTTATGGTTGATTTTGTTTTGTTTTTTCTATCAGCAAAGAAATCCCAGATATGTAAAAAAAAAATCGTTTTCAAGCTCGAAATATTTCGGGCTATGAAACATTTGCACGTTTTGAATGGATAAATAATTTATATCACAGCTTCAAAAGATGTCTTTTTTGTTCACTGCGTGTAGCAATAATTGCAGTAATAATTATAATAATAATTGACAGTAGTAATAATTATTACAGGTTCTCAATCATCCCCAAGAGAATAAAATTACAGAATACACGGTGGCCATGTTGGATGATATAACAAAAGAGACTATATTAGGATAAATCTTTTTGTAAAGTTCAACAAAGTTGCCAGCTATGAAAACCAGCAGCTGATTTGAGGAGAAAATGTTAGCCAATCAGTATTAAGAAAACTTGCAAAACTGAGGTGTCACTTTCCCTCTTGAGATCACAGATTTCCAGCCCAACAAATAAAAAAATTATGCGGTAAAAAGAGGTTGATAACAGTAACACAATACCTAATGAGTTTTATGTTTTTATTGCAATGGTGGACAGGTTTTTATTTTTCTCTGGTTAATAATTAATGAAGGCTTCATGACACCTAAGATTTGCAGTGACATCATTTCTACGATGCTATTTCAAATCAGATGGAGCAATGATCAACGTGCATGTTATGTCATAGCCGCAATGTTGGTTGAGAATAACAAAGCATTTCTCATTCTTCCTCATTAGCTTCTCTTGTTAGATCAACCAAAATGGCAGCTGTTTCATCATTTTTAATGATTCAAGGGATTTTGAGTCATGTGGTCGTCTCCACGAATATCGTTTTCTCTTGGATCTTAGCGTTGACATCTACGTCTCACTACTAAGTCATCACCAAGATTTAACCCAGAACGTAAGTATTATGAGATTTATTTGTAATTTATTCTTACCCTATTACATTTATTACATTGCATTTTTTTATGATTCAACATTTTTAATTGCTTGCAGTGGATTTATCTTTGTGTGTTATTAGTCCTTTCTCTATCAGATCAGGTATTTCCACAGCCAACCAGGGACCAAGCTGAACAAACAAAATGAAAAATGAATTACATTAAGTTGCTGTCACCCTAGGCAAGGGGGCTCTGTGGCGCAGTGGTTAGTACTTATGACTTTTACCCCAATGGTTTGAGGGATAAAATTTGGAATGTGTAAAAACTTTAGCTTGGTTCTATACATTGGGGACTGTGAATCCCTCGTGGCTTGGTTGACATGTTAAAATATGGCATTCCCATCTCCAATTTGGGGATGTAAAAAGAACCACTGAGGATGCAATAAACCCTAGCATTGACCAACATTCCACCCTGTTGAGCTGAGCCACTGCTGTGGTGGTGGTTATAGAGATACCAAGTTTTCTAAATTTAAAGTAATGCTGCATCAAGATTGTAAGATGGGTTTTGGATATGCTACGACAGGCAATTTCTCAATCTTATGCATCTTGTTGTACAACAGAATTGTGAGGCAAGTTGCATGGAACATAGTGTAAGACCACCTTTACACAATGGTGTTACATTTGTAAAGTTTGTCAAGAGCCATTACAGTTCATTTTATGGTCAAGGTCAAGTAATAAATGGAAAGTGAATGGAATGGTAAGAAGTCTCATAAGACATCCTAAGCATAACTGCCCAAAACATTGAGGTTGTTGGTATCATTTACATTAAATAAACCCGGTTGATTTAATTTGGCAATGATCTGAGGTAAGAAGTCAGATGGATGCCCTGTGTTAAAACGGAAAAACTAATATCTAAAAATATTTGGGAACAGGTTTCAAAGACAAGAATAATATTTAGCCATTTCAAAAAATGAATCGGTACTTGCATAATAAGAAGCTAAACTTACCCCTAATGCCATGGCATGTGCAATTCCAAATCTAGGAACATTCCTTCCCCACAGGGGCTTAAAGTGATCTGTCATGCATATTTTACCTCCCCTGAAGAAAATATGTAACACTTAATAATGTATAAATTATAATAATGAGAGCTATTAGGAATGCTTTCTTCTGGTTAGGAATGAACCTGTTAGTCTTACGAAACTAATAAAATGTTAAGGAGTTGAATACTCTTGTATTTGAGAAACTGCATACATGAAGGGCTTGAGCACTGATAAATTGTTGGAAGGAAAGGGATGGACAGGATGAATGGATGGGATAAAAGAATGGGATGAATGGGATAAATAAATGGATAAATAAATTAATTAATACAATAATTGATGGACAAGTAGGACAATGGATGGATGTATTGGCTGTTTAATTAAATATAAGATGGATGGATGGAAGGGCTCAGTGAATGCATTGTTAGAACAAATGTATGGTGCTGGATCCAAAAAAATATTATAAAATAGATGGATAAATGGCTGAAGACTTCCTTCATTACCTATACATTTTTGCAGTCTTCCCATCCAACTCTGGTAAAGCTATTTCAGGAGCTGTGGCTGGATATGTGATAGGAATCTGATAAATTGAAGAAATGGGAAGCAAACTATTAATCACAAAGATTTCAAATAAAAAAACAAATTTAAATAAAATTAATTAGAATTGTAAAAACATCCATACTTACGTCAAACTCAACATCAAATTCATATTTTAAAAGATTGTGTATGTACCAACATTTACCAAACCATCTGGAAATGGGAAAAAACATTTTGTCTTTATCAGTGAGCCACCTGGATCTGACGGCGCTCTTTTCTTCGCTCGAGAAATGTTAACTTAAAAAATTTAAAGTCAAGGATATCAGTGTCTCACCTTGTGCCCTCTTTGTTGGACTCTAAACGAAACCAGTCGTTGTCAGCTTCTTTGTTATTACTCACATACTGATCAAATGATCGAAAAAGAAATCATGAGTCATAGTTAGATATTTGAAAAATACCGAGAAAGTCATCGAATTTTTGCTAGGAAATAGTGGAAATAAATCCAAATGGACTTACTTTAATGAGAGATGTATACTCCTCCTTTAATCTGTTGACCCAATCGTTGCCATCTCGTGGTCCTGCCTTGGTTTTTAGCAAAGGAATAGCTGCCAAAGTCTTCTTTGTCGCTTCGTCCACCATCTTGTTTCTTTTCTTGTGCGCATGCGCATGCTCACCACAGCTATACCRCAAAAGCACGAAATAACTTTAAAAGATTTTAGAAAATGACAACTACAATTCCATTTTAATAAAACAGAATAACGAACTATATGCTCGATTTATCTATGCTAAGGTCTTATTATGTATGGCAAGAGATACGAAGCCAGAACATATGGTATAATAAGTGACATGGTTTTCTAACAGCCAGCCTAATTTATAGGCCCCCACCCCAAATTTTTCCTTCAGAAATAATAAGAAGAAGAATGATAGTTTTGATTCATAGTTAGCAGTTATTTTCTTTTCTGTGGAAATTTAAGAAGACCCGTTGGTGCAAATCAACTCCACCCTCCCCTCCCCTGGCATTGTTTCCTTGTACCCAGACTCCTAAAGTGCCCGGTGATCGAAGTTTACCTCTTTGATTTATGAATCAAAAGTTTTGTAAATACGCTCTTTTCTACTGCATTATTAATGAAGACCTTGAAATGCTCTTTTGAATTGCGACGAACAGAATCCTCTGAAGGATGATTTGTGTTATTCTAGTGGCGGGACACGGTACTCTTCTTGAAAAACAAATCAAAGTAAGCAAAAACTTTTTACTACGTTAGGCTGATCATGATAGTAATATTTGGAGTCAAAAATTTCGAATTACTTAACAACATTAAGCTAATAATTGGACTACAAAGCCGTGAATTCCATTTATTGACGTGTTAAATGTTCTTTTTTCTAGGATGATTTATCAGGGAAATACATTGGTTTGCAAGGAGTTCCCAAAGCACTCCTTCCTGGTGTTGGAGGCAAGTCTATTCTGGACTTTTGGTGGGAGGCAATCAAAATGTAAGGAATTATATTTTATAATCTATTATTTTTGAAAGAGATGGAATGGTCAGGTCAATTCTTTACTCTAAATTAGATTATGATAAAATATATATACCACTATGCAGTAGCTTAGCCAATCAGAATGCACAATTTGCAATACACCACTATAACCCCATAAAGGAATTCAAAAGAGAAGAATATACCCCCTTCAAGCCCTTCCCACTCATTATTGAGCTAAAATATGATTGCTTGATAAAGACTTGGGTTAATATACTATGTTTGGCATACAGTATGCGAATCTAGAAAAAGTTTAAATTTAATGCTATATTTTTCATGGATACAGGAGGCAGTTATTCACTGATGTGTTCCTTGTAACCAATGCTGACAAGTAAGTGAAATATATTATTATTATTATATGTTATTACATTTATTCAACTATATTTTAGTTTGAAATTGACTCTATGGTTGACTAATAGCATTACGGTGGAGTATACATCATAATGTTTTCCTATCATAGACCAGGTGTCGATCATTTCATCAAGAATATGATTTTTCATTTGAGCCATGTTATCCATGTCATAAACCAATCAATTGATCAATCTTCATTTAGTACCTAAATTGCAAAATTACATATACTAAACTACAAGAATACAGAAAATTGGTACGAGCCAGCTGTAATAGCCACAGACTAAACAAAACAGTTGGCAAATTATAAGATTACATTAACATATTTTTTGGTCAATAGAAGTATATAAAGAAAGAAAAAGGAGAAATGTATCTTTTTATAAATGTATCTATAAATGTATCTTTTCAAGCATAACTGGTATACAAAGTAACAATACTCAAGGGAATGGCAAACAGTCTACTGAAATGGAAAAACATATTTATGCCCATTAGGTCCATCAGCCTAGTTTTTTTCGTTTTTGTTTACAGTATAATAATTATATGAACTGGTGTTGTATCCATATAGGTATAAATACTATGAGAGATGGGCCACAGCACACGATTTTCCAGTAGAAAATATTGTAAATGATGGAACTACCACCTTTGAAACAAGGTACATAGTAAATCAAGGCTATATATATACTGGTACTTGAGACTGCTTGGATTCAATCTAAAATCATCAAGAATCATTATAAGGTTAAATGAAACATTTACACATTTTATGGAAAAGGTAGGAGTATACCATAGGGGTATAGACTTTTGCAGGATATTCCCAATGCAGCCCATTTTTTGCAACCATATTAAATTAATATGAATATTATATGAATATGAATATTAAATGCATGAATGAAAAAGGAGTCTAAGACATTTAATAAAATGATTCAACAAAATTAAAAATTCTACCTCTGAAGAAGACTGAAATCTTGACTGACTTAGGATTTAAGAGCTAAAATAATGGCTGGTCAATGGAAAGTGTCTGTTTGCCCAGCCAAACATCATAGGCTGGTCCTCTTGAGGGTATGGTGGTCATATGTTAAATACAACTCATTCAGCCAGTGGTCAATTCCATCCATTAAAAATGATGTGTTTTATATTTCCCACTTCTATAAAAATGAATATAATTATATAATAATAAAAATATAATAATCTCTTGGTTAATGTGTAGTTTTGTTTGCACTAGACTACTTGAAAATAAAAAGCACAGAATAAAGAATTCTAGGATCATTCAATCAGCTCAAGGGTAAACTTATTAAAATCTTAAACATTATAAGAGTCACAAGATGTATTTTAAACTGGATTAAATCTCCTTAAAATTGGAATTTTCCAAATTTACTTTAAGCTCATCATTTCTAAACTGTCAACAAAGATAAGTAAAGTCAGATAAAAATATATAAAAATTTAAAATATAGCTATTTTTAAAAAGGATGGTGAAGCTTATATAGATAAGTTCAGCATAGAAGAAAATATGCCAGAAAAAAGTGCAGACAAAATTTGGTAAACTTTGGGCTTGGCATGCAACTTGCAACTTGCAACAAAACATTCACCATTTTATTTTCGAAATAGCTGTATATAAACTTGATAAATCAGTACACTGCTTTCCTGAAGCTAAAGGAATATAAATGAATATAAAAACACCAGCATTTTTTGAATTAAGAAATAAATACTAAATAGAATTAACCAATATTAAATTTATATAGTATCATATAAACGAATTAACATATTTAAAAACTTTCACATTCATTAAATTTTGAACATCATTTTTTAAACTCAATTTAATTATTTAAACATTTTTGAAAATTTAAACGTAGCCTGTGCAATAAAGGCCCAGTTAATATAATTTTACCTAGAGTTACTTCTTAAGTGATTGTTAAAGTTATATTCCTTGGAGTAAAGTATGATGCCATACCTTTTAGTTATCAATTAATATACAGTCCGTAATTTATACGACATAATGCCTTGTCTTTGAGTTCATCTTATCTTGATCTGTGGTTTAACAAGTATATAATGTTTGGTAGACTTGGTGCAGTAGCTGACTTTGAGCTGGTTGTGAGAACCAAGAATATTCAAGATGATGTTGTGGTGGTAAGTAAGTAGGAGTAAAAGGTTAGCCCAAGATATTCTTAAAGCAGACAAGAGCTTGGTCTAAATTTATATATGGTAAGATGTTGGATGGTTCGTGGGGGGTTGTCATGGTTATTGGTAGGTTCTTGTGCAAAGGCGGATGCAGCCAAAATTTTAGGGGGGTCTAATTGAGTTTAGGGAGGTTATTGAGCTTTAGGTCCATCAACACAACGGAAAACAATGAAAAAGCATCTAATTCTTCAGTTTTGTTTGTTTTTTTTTTCTGCTGAAGGGGGGCTTCAGCCCCCCTTTGCCCCCCCTGGATCCGCCCTTGAGGTGCTGGGTGGTGGTGATGATGGTTGTGGTTTGTGTTATTGGTGGGGTGCTGAGTGGCTGGTTGTGACAATGGAAGTACAGTTAACAATTTATTTTTATTCCTTCCCCAGGTGGCAGGAGACATGCTTTTCCAAGATGGTAACTTTGACATGGCACAAGTGATCAAATACTTCAAACTCAAAGTAATGAATCCTTTAGCAATCTTCAGCCTCACTTATTTAGATTACATAAATAGTTTAATATATAACTGCCTGCTAGATATAGATAGGATTCAAATTTCAGTTAGTATCTTTTTTACTTCTATGCACAGAAGGGTGAGTTGGCCATTTACTATGAAATGCATGGGATGGAGCAGACAGAAACGAGGGGTATTGTGGAGGTCTGCCCTTTGACAAACAGGTATCTATTAATATATTATCGATAATTAATTAACTATAATTAATTGTTGGAAAGTTTACAAAAACTAATGTTATATGGGATTGAATTGAAAGGATTGAAAGATTCCTGGAGAAGCCCAAACCTGATCAAACAACATCAAGGCTAGCAAGTGTAGTAAGTACAGTAAAACGGGCAGTAAATGCTCTTGTATAATTTCAAAAAATATTCATTGCAAGACAGGAAGGTATAACTGTTTATTCATACTTTCTTCGTCCTTTGAAAATTTTATTTTTCCTGTCTTGTAGGGAAGGGGAGGGGGGAGTTAGCAAGAATTTTATGCATGTGCATGTCACTATATAATAATATACTTAATGTGTGTATAAATGTTTGTAATACATGTACAGTGCTGCAATTTTTTATTGCTTGATATAGGTGTTCTATTGCTTTCAAAAAGAAACCCTCAGTACTCTGGAGATTTATTTGAAGAAAAGAGCTGACATTGATCAACGAGGATTTGGAAATTACCTGGTATGATCAATTAGGCATACAATAAACCAATAGACTTAATCCACTGTTCTCCCATTTCAGGCCACGTGTCATTCCCTATAGTATTATTTCTTTGTTTAACAGTTGCACACGAGAAGACACATGAATCAATATGGATACAACTCAAACAAAGAATCTTATTCTAAAGAGAATAACATGTGGTCTGAAATGGGCAAACTTTTATGTCCAAGTAGATTTGGTCCAACTTAATTGATAACAGTATATCTACATTGAGCTGATAGATCAAACCCTTGACAGTATTATTTTTATTGAACCAAGGAATGGCTTGTCAACCAGACACCAGTGTATGGTATGAAACTTCCAACTGGCTTTCAGCTTATTGGTCAAGTGGTATGATGTATGATGACTGTATGATTAATATCACCTCCTGAATTCCACTATAATTTAAATGAGAGAGATGTGGGGGATAGGGCCCACTGGGAGTGATAGCCATGAATACATGTTGAACTAAGGAAGGATTTTTAAAATTTCCATGACAGTACAAAATTTCAAGTCAATTAAGTCAGATCTGTACTTTGCCTTTGATTTTATTAATTCTACTTTGTTTAGGGTTTATCTGAATATGAGAAGTGGGTTGCATATTTCTCTAGCATCTCTCAAAAAGGATGTCCATTGGAACCTTATGTTGCCAGAGCCTATGCAAGGTATGTAGGTATATACTGTCTAATGGACAAATTATAGACTGAATATCAATGACAATGCCATTTATGTGTCAGACTATATGCTCAGGGATGACAGAGCAGATTTTAATGGGGGCTGGGGTGTGGAGGCTGGAATCAAGTCCCCCTTCCCCCTCCCCCTCAGCTCTGCCCTCCCTGCTTCTAGAAGGTAGGATATCCATAATCCCAAAAATTGGTCTTGATAGCTAGGTGGTTTACTAAGAGCTTTATTATATACGTCTAGTAGTGTTTGTATTTTAATGATTTAATCTTATTGCAGGATTGGTTTAATGGGGAACCCATCAGATGGTTTCAATGGCAAGACCATATCAATGTCAATAGCCAACTTTTGGGCTGAAGTTACTATCCAGGAAAGTCAGCAGTTGGTGAGTTATGTTCAAGATAAAAGGGAGGGCAATCATTAGAGCAGCCCCAGTCCCCACTTTTGTGATACTACTTGTACTTTATCAAAGGCATTATTAGCCCCACATTTTGAAGTTTCCTAGATCCACAGTCGCAATACAGAATAGTGAATTTTCAAGTAAAGCTGGCTGGCATCATTATTAGCAGTTGTTAATACTAATTTTTTATGTGTTCAATTTTCAGGTGTTGGTGCCACACCCTCTGAATGATCCAACAGAATTTGGAAGCTTGGGGGATCTTCATGGAATAAGCCGAAAAGAGGGGTGTGTATACTGACATTTATTTTCATTTATATATCTTTATGGGAGTCCAAGGCCTTGGTCTGCAGGAACAAGTGATGCCAGGTGTAATAGAAAGATACCAAGGCTTGAAAGAGTTTCAAGACATCAGACAATGTCTGCCCAGAATTGGAACTTGTCCAGTTAAATCTTAGCCTTGACGGTCATTTTGACCAGTGACGTTGAGCCAGAAAATGAAGTATGAGTGAGCTAAAACTAATTTGGCCTGTCATCATGACTGGTGACTTGCTGGCTAAAATGACCAGGTTATAATGTGAAATATATGTTACTCTTTTATTTTGGCAGCCACTTGCCAAAAAAATATTATTAAAGTCTGTATTGTTTCTCGTAAGTGATTTACATCTTGATGAATTTATTGATGGGTTGTTTTCTTTCATGCTGTGAACAGTTATCTTGGAGGACTACGTTTACTTCAAGCCACCTGCAAAAAGTTCTACCAGTATTGCTACGAGAAAGGGTAGGATAACTAGACCTCGCCTTCTCTTATCCTCTGAGCAAATTAACATTTACTGAATCTGAATATTAAGATATTTTGCCTATCAAAACATTAAAGTAATTTCATGGTTACTAGTTTCAACTCATCAATTTTTAAATTAATCACTGATATACTTTTTTCCTTGGACATTCACTATTAGATTTTGGTTGACCATTTTCGATGAAGTGTGACCCTCAAAGTTTGATGTCTTGTTTGCTGATTAGCATTTCAATGACTGTCAATCAAGGAACTGAAATAAAATAACAACATCTTGAGGGATATTTTAGACGGAATTAAAGATTTTAGAGAAAGTATTAGAAGATTACAATTTTTTAATTTGGCCTAAAATCTCCCTGAAGATTTAAAAAAAAAATTCAGTTGTTTAAGTGATGGTCGTCGAAATGTTTGTCAGTGGATAAGACATCAAACTTTGCGGGTCATACTTCAACGATAACGGTAGTAATCGAATCACTCTAAGTATGGTTGCTAGTACAAGAACCACAGAGCACCCTAAATAAAAAGAAGGGCTTAGATTGAAAAATATACCAGACATCAGCAGGGCTGTCAACTCTCCCGGATAAACCAGGACTCTCCAGATTAGAGTCTCAAATCTCCCGGATAATCGCCAAAGATGACCATTTTAGCCCCAGCCCCTCTCTAAAGTCCCTGTCAGCTAGATCAGTTCATAAAGTCTTTATTTTTTTACAGTATAGCATTGGCAAAAAAGAACTTTTCCCTGAAGTATGACACCAACATACCCAGACAAGTGGTAATTATTGCATGTGTCAAACATTGATATTAAGGTATTTATGATCAGGGATAGCATTGGCAGCAATAAGTAATTTATTTATGATTATTATTTTATTGCAGGGACTTGCAGGCAGCAGGTAATGATATATTAGAAAAAGAAAATAATGACTAAATATTTATAAGAAGAAAATGATAATAACTAAATGTTTAATTAATCCTACTTGGCTTTAATTTGCTATATACCTAACAGGATTTTTTGTATGGGTGCATGATTTCCAATATACCTGAAATTTATCATATATTATATTCTTTCCATATTCTAATAAATTGACAATTAATACAAAATATTACCATTTCCACTGTCACTATAGAACATCAAATAATAATTGTACTTCAAGTGCACAATAAACAATAAAGCCTGAATAATAATATAATTCTTTACCAGCCTTTTAAAACGACAATAAATATAATCACTAATTAAATGAATTTGTTTCCTTTTCTTTCCAGTGCAATAGTGACAGCCACTTTGAGATGTTTGATGCATTTTTACAATCTTACTGACAAGGTATCTTGAATCAATTTGACATTGACAGCAATTTTAGTTGAGGGAAAACCTTACCAAATTATAATTTGTGAATTTAGCTGTGAAGGTAGTTAGACATTATATTATGCAATAACTTTTGTTTATGCAGGATATTCCAAAACCATTACAGCCCAAGTTTGTTTTAGATGTAGAAATGGATGAATTGTTCATTCAGGCAGGACTACAAGATCGTGTGATACAGGTAAACTTTAAATTATTATGGTATCAGGGGAGTACTCCCATATATAGTGTAAGATTAAGAATTTCCGCAGACTAGAGGCCCCGCAGGCGCCATAAATATTTAACATCAAGAATCAGTCGAGCGTGCATCATTAACTTGTAAGTAGTTTTCTTTTTTTT